TGTAATCGGCTGTGCGCTAATGCAGTTCGAGGCAGAGGGCGCGGAGCGCGTCATCTGCTATCAGTCGCGTCAGCTGCAAGCAGCTGAGCGCAAATACCCAGTGCATGACAAGTAACTCCTCACCATGAATTATGCAATGGCTAAGTTCCAATTCTATCTCTTGAAAGGTAGACCGTTCATCTTGTCTACACGGACCATGCGTCATTACGCACGGCCGTAAACAGCCCACACCTTTCGCAGAGAATGGCGAGGTGGCTGTCTTTCTTCGCGTAGTACAACTTCTCCGTGGAGTATAAACCAGGACGACTAAACGTAGTCGCTAATGCGCTTTCGCGCCGGCCCGATTTCAAGCCGGACGCACAATCCAACAGTGAGAATAAGCCCACTGTTGCGACACTGAGAGTCAGTGTTCAGTCGTCAAGCTTACTTGACGACGTACGAAAGGCATACGCAGAAGATACGGATCTTCTGCGATCAATGGATCACCTGGTGCATCCATCCAGTAAATCATTGAAGGATATACCGGCTTTGTACCGATCCTCATCGGATCGGTACACAACGCGTAACGGACTGTATATATTATACAGCTGTTGACGGCGACATCCCTTGTGTCGTCGTCCCCACTCATAATGATTTGAGGTTACGCATCATGTACGAGTGGTTCGATGCCCCAACAGGTGGCCATCGTGGTAGAGAAAAGACTTACCTCACGGTAAGTCGTGACTTTTACTGGTCCCGCCAGTATCAGTTTGTACGCAAGTACATATGTACTTTCGAGGTTTGTCAACGGGCGAAGCCTAGTCCCTCATCCCGTGCGCCATTGCAGCCTCTGCCTGTCCCGGTAGAGTGCTGGCAGTCCGTTTCAATGGACTTCGTCTTCAGGTTTCCCGAAGACGACCACAAAAATAATGGCATTCTTGTGTTCGTTGATCGGTTCAGCAAGATGTGCATCTTGCTGCAGTGCCCGAGTCCATCACGGCACCCGGCTGTGCTCGTGTCTTTCTTGACACAATCTTCTGACTCCACGGGTTGCCCCGTGAACTCGTATCTGACCGTGACCCTCGGTTCACGGCGGCATTTTGGCAAATTGTGTTCCGTTTTCTTGGAACACGATTGAAGGTGTCTACTTCTGAACATCCGGAAACAGATGGTCAGACGGAACGTGCGAACCGTGTCCTCGAAGGAATCCTTCGAGGATATGTCCACTCGTTTTCGAGTTGAAGCGAATTCCTTCTTCTGGAGGAATTCGCCATCAATAATTCGGTGCATGCTTCAACACAGCACACACCGTTTTACGTGAATGGTTTACGCCATCCACGAGTGCCCACCCTTATAGAGTGTGAATCTTGGAATAGGGGGTAGGGACTCGCTCGAGCAAAAACCGTTTTGGCTCTTGCTCATCACGTGTCGACGCTGACGTCGTCACGTATGATGCCGATGTCGACAATGTCGACATCGATGAAGTACACCACCTCAATAATAGCGGCAACGCTATTATTGACTCGGATGATGATGACGATGCTGGTATATTCAGCATCTTCAACGATTATGACCGCGAGGAAGAAGACAACCTCGCTGAAGAAGAGAACGATCTCTTAGCAGTGCGCACGAAGCGTACTGAAAGACAAAATAAAGAGTTAGCAGAGAACTTTCTGCTGACTCGAGAGGCGGTAATTTGTTTCGTTTAGGACTCCATCGTAAATGCGGTGGACCGCCAGAAACGGAACGCAGACAAGAATGGAAGAGCAAATGTTCTTTCATTTAAAGATAACGACTTAGTACTACTGTCTACGGTAAACTTACCTGGACGTGCAGTCACTAGTGTCGGCAGTAGAAAACTACTGCCGAAATACATTGGACCCTTTCGTGTGTTGAATCGTAAGGGCAATGCATACACGATCGAATTGCCACGTAGGATACGCACGCATCCTACGTGGTACGTGGGGCGACTCAGACCGTACTGTCGGAACGAGTCTTCTTCTTCCGATGATGATAGCCCCCACGTTCAAGAAAATCCATCATGTTCTTACGTTCTCGATCCAGACGATCCGTCTGGTCGCGCAAAAAGATACCTCGGAACTCAACCGAGATATCTCCCCGCGAGGTGTCGCTAGCTCGCCGTAAAGGGAGCGGACATCCCGCTAATCCTGAAGCTGCGCTGTGGCGTAATCGGCGCGGTCTCTTGCCCGATCAGCCTCGCGATCCTTGCGGTTATTCCGCACGGTATCAGTCAAAGCGTAGCGCCGGTCGCGCTCGTGCTTCAAGTCATCGCGCAGTTCCTCGATTGCGCGATCAATCTCGTAAGGGTCGAGATGGTGAGCAGAATCATCTGGAGGAGGTCTTTCCTCCTCCACCATATCCTTTGGTGGATTCTCACGGTGGTCAACGCTTTCTAGCGGAGCGTATCTTGAATCACCGTGACGATTCAGGATAAAGGGCGAGCTACCTCGTCCAGTGGCGGGGGTATCCACCCTCTTGGAACATCTGGGAGCTCCGCTCTCAGCTGTTGATGGATGTTGAAGGTCTCGTCCACCAGTGTGACGAGACCCGTCCGATGAGTCCGAGGGCCCATCGGTAAACACGCGCCCTAGGCGCTTGTAGACGGAGTGCAAGTTTGCAATCGCGTCACGCATCTCAGCCGAGATGTGTGCCCTTCCCCAGGGCAAATCTAGGGAATACACGTCCCTCTGCGCACGTTGCGAGTTTTCAGCACAACTCGCACAAGGGTCTCCCCATGTGAGGCAAGGAATGCCGGCCTCACTTGATAAACGATGAAACCGGTACTTGGCACCGGTTGGCGTTCGTTTTTCGAACCTGAGGCGTACTGCCTCAAGCTTCTTGAGCCACCCTTCACTTCTAAAATTTTTTACGTTTTGGACGAACGCGTTCCACGCTGCCAAACGCGAGTTTTTGTCACACTTTTGGTTGCCGTTTTACCATCGATGTCTAAGAAAGACATCAAGATAAAAATCTTCTTCAGCGCGAAAGTTAGTCGCGCTGGAATTCAAGCCATGAAGCTCGGTCGCATCGAATAAGGGTATTCGATGGTGTTGGTCTGTCTCGTGAGACAAGCTGTTGATGAGCCGCTCGGGCAGACGCCACGGCTTCGGGTCATCACGCTTCGAAGCGGTACCTCTGTCGGTACCACGGCTCCCATAATGACGACGGCTCACGCCGTCGTCATCACGCTCGTGCGAAGAAGCACGAGTCGGCGGTGGTAAGGAATGATATTCCTCACCACTCTGATCACCTTCATCATCACTGCCGAACAGACTGTGTTGCAACTCACGAGTCCGTTCGTTCGGCAGTGGCCTTGGCGAATACTGAGACGTAGCCGGTGATCGAGACGCCTCTGGAACATTGCTTGAGTCAGACACGTCTGACTCGCCAGAGAAAATGACCTCAATGTCGGGGTCATCATGCGCACGCGGTGAGGTGCCGCGTGCACTTGCAGCACCTGTTGCTGCAGGCGAAGAACGAGCAGCAGACGACGAATCGTCTGCCGCAGAGGCTGGCACAGCACCAGGCTGTGCGGGTCTTGAGTCACCTCGCATAGAAATGTTTACTATCCGAGGTCAGGTCAAGTTATGAACGGAATTGACCCAACAAGTGCTCCCTGTCCCAATGGTGACGAATGAGTGGCGACAATATTTTCGATAGTCACACGGTGACTATCAGTTAAGGGGGGGGGGTGATGTAACGGGGCAGCCCCTTACATGGAATTGTCACTTTAAAGAAACAATGACAATAAAGAATATTAAGTTGAATAGTCTTTGAACAATATCACCGATAGTGGTGATATTGGTGAAGCGACCAAAGGGTCTGCTCATTGGTTGATATCTTGACGATATCAACCCACCAATCGCCGCAGGACGCGCGCAATGAGTGGTGACGAGACGTCACCATACACTCAGTTCGATTAACATGATTAAGTCAGGTTAAACATAGAGACAGTAACAAAAGACTTAATTACATTTATACAACAGTTCTACTTTTCCCTTATCTACGCTTCCTCGTTTGTCTCATGTACGTCTGTCGGGCGCACCAAAACCCTTGCGTTAAGTTCACGCAAGGGTGTGCCCCGTTACAATCATAACGCCTGTAATTCGTATCCCATAGTGGATTGGTCGACTAAAAATGAAGGGACAATATCGTGATCTCGTCGTAGTTGAAAAAAGCAAGAGCTCATTTTTATTGCATAAAGACGTCCGGGTTGAATACACATCTCGTTCTTACGATAGAGCTACATATATCGAACAAGCATTTGTTTTGACGACTGTTGTTTCCAGAACACATTTGTAGTTTGTTCCTATCCCGATTAATAAGGTATCCCTCAATACCAAAGCTATATGAGTATAAATCTATTCCTATAGATATATGCATATGGTTTCGTGTCCTATTTTACAATGCCGCGTCAAGAAACTATCTCCGACACGCTACAGTCAAAGCAAACGCATGCCGAATCGATTGAACTCGGTTCTTCATTTTGTCCTCGAAGTCGATATTGACGGAGACACGAGGAAGGACGGATGACTGGAGAACCTCCTCGATGCGAGTATACCGGAATGACTGTCAAACACACGTGGGACTACTGTATCAGATAAAATCGCGTATTTGTATTGTTTGTAACGCCACTACTACCTCAACCATCTTGCTTGTCCTCGAAGGCGTCGTCGACCCAGTCACTCTCCCAAACACCACCCTGTCGTCACCTCTTCGTCACCGGTGCTTTCAGACAAGTTGACGAAGGTCTCTCCAGTACGCCGACCTTCTCCACCTTCCTTCGTCGTTTTCTTGGCATTGACGGCATTCTCAACGAGCTTCAGTGCTCTCGTTCTCCTCTCCTTCGACTTCCTTCCCTCCTTCAGCCGCACTTGCTGACTCATCCACCAGCGTTCCAAAAACTGGTATCGGAGTCAAAGCCTGTGTCTTTTTCAGAAATCTCTCTGGCAAGACCATGCGCAAAGCTGTAGTGGGGTTCGTTTGTCTTGTTCGTGAACCTACTCTTCGGCGGGCAACGCAGGAGTAGTGTTCTCGTCTTCTTCCTGGACCTTCTCTTCATCGACACCCGCTGCTTCCGACGGCTTGATGACTGACGATGGATCCGTTTTTTCCTCCTCTTTTTTATTTTCCTCCTCCCCCTCCTCCTCCTCCTCCTCCTCTTCCTCCTCCTCCTCATCTTCTTCCTCCTCCTCCTCTTCCTCCTCTTCTTCTTCCTCCTCCTCCTCTTCCTCCTCTTCCTCCTCCTCCTCCTCCTCCTCCTCCTCCTCTTCTTCCTCCTCCTCCTCCTCTTCTTTGTTTTCTTGCTCTTCGGCGCTCTTCTCTTCTTCAGCGACCAGCTCGGTCAGACCACTGGTCGACACCGGCGTTACTGAGTTCCCCGTCGCCACAGACTCATCCACCTCTTCTTCGGCGTCAGCTGCCGGAACCGGGTCCTCTTCGCCAGTCGTCATCAGCACTCTTCGAAGGTTGACACCCATATCGGCAGTCACCGTTTGCATTGCGGCTTCGGCGCCCAAACTCGAGGGCAACGTCGCCGACAGAAGCAAGGCGAACAACGCGGCGTAAAAAGCTTGCATACTCGATAAGTGGCTAGATCCAGAATGGCCGAGTCGGTGCGGCAGCACAGGGTGACAGGTATCACCCGCACGCTCAACGACGACTCCGAGTTGGTCGAAATCGGTTGAGCGTATCCTGGATCGTTGTCAACTCGACCACAGTATTGTTTCACCGATAAATGAGGCTGTCGTCGGTTGACGACCGGGACAGGCTGTATAAAACGAGGCAGTTTCGTTTCGTTGGCGCCGATAACAGCTTGCCCACAAAACCAAACGAAACTCTCTCGTGTTCATTCATACAGCCTGTTCCTGCCGTGAAGAGAGGAGGCGTAAAGATATTCGTGACTCGCCCGCCTATCGCCCGTAACAACGAGTTGACCTTTCAGACCCGAATGGGAGCAAAAAGCCACGAGACAGACGCAACCGCCAAACACATGTTGGTGCAGAACGAGAAGAAAACGAACGTCACAGTGACGCTGACTGTACTGCCACCAGACGAAAAGCTTGTTTGCAAATGCCCGTGTCGAGCGCTTTCCTTGCCTACGTTCGGGCATGAAGAGCACTCAGTGTTCCGTGATAAGTGCTCTATGATCAGGATTTGAAGCAAAAGAAGGGGGTACAATGCATCGTTTGCCGATACCGTTGTCAACGAGCGTTGTCAGTGCCGGGCACGCATCCATCCGCTTCGATTCGAGTACAGCAATAACAAGTTGCCGCTTAGACTCGCGAATGGCTGTCTCAAATATTCTTGTACCTTGCTCGAGATCCAAGCAACCTGTGTGTCGTTTTCAGCGTGCTCTGATCACGGACGCGAGTAAACGATCGGCGACGCAACTTTCCACGATGGGTCTTCTTTGCATCGCATCAAGTAAACGCAGGCGTGAACTCATACGGCGATTGATTATCAGCCAAAGTGGCGCTCTTGTGCAAACGTTTTAATCTTTAAGACAATGTAAAAATCATCGGCTCAAGCTGGATGTGCCTAGTTGGAACATACTGGTCGCATCACGTCGGGCACGCAACCTTGCTCTCTTGGTCATTCGCCCTAATGTCGCGTGGACGCATTTTTACGTCGGCCCACAATTGGTCTCGAGTTTCAATATTGAAAGTAATGGTGAGGCGGGTGTGTATCACATCGATCGGGTCCACCGAATCCGGCCGAAATAGAATCGAACGACCCGTGATCGAGTGACCCTCTTATTTGTGTAGTGGGGGTATAAGTGAGGTACAGTGAAGAACGTCATCGATCAGTGGTACCTAGTCCAGAAAATGTGCACTATCTGGGGCTGCTAACTATTGTAGGTTAGGGTGTGACAGGGACGAGAGCGGTCCTCCTAGTCATTAGGTGTCGTGCCATCGATGCTCTGGCGCGTGCGTTTTGCAAGTTTTAGGAGTTAATCCACTGGCGACGTCGAGGGATGTCTCAAGCCAATGAGAAACGTCGTGCTGAATGTGATGCGCGATGTTCAAGGCGACGGCCCGATTGGTTAGTACATGAACTTGAAGCGATGCCTTGGTACCCATCGCAACGGTCGCAGCAACGGCTGCTATCATATTATGTGCCCATAACTGGTGAGCCCAGCTGGTGACTGCGACGTCGATCGCGAGCGCTCGCGGTTTGCGATACAGTGATGCTAGATTCGGCTTTCGAGGTGAGCGAAACAGGTGGAGATGAGAGAGTACTAACGCACTGTCTCCAATGACGTGAAGCGGTATGAAATCACTAGTTTCGTGCTTGACGCAGGCCATGGATGAGACCAGTAAATGCGGCCGAATTACTTGTAGTCGTCTTCACTCCAAGTGACATGCTGGCCACCCAGACGAGTGTAGCTGCGTGAGCCTGGGACTGAACACGTACTATGACGGATTCTAAGCCTCCGAGGCCGGGGTTTTTCCGTGAACCACCATCGAAGAATAGACGAAATAGGTTCGTTGGGGAAGCCGGTAGAGGCGGCAGCAGGAGTAGGGACTCAGTGTGCGGCAGAAGCTCGTCCGTTAAAGCCGATCGCATTCTCGCAGGCATGTATTCCTGGGAACTGTCACTGAGTTAATATGTTGAATCGCGGAAACATTCGAGTGCTTTGCGCGAACCGGACTGAGCTACCGCGTCATGATTACGCTGGCATTGTCTGGCCCGCTAATTGTGCTACGTAGGCAATCCCATATGTTCTTGATTAGGTAGCCCGCTCCACGGTTGACCCGCGCAATGGACCGACCACAAAAATTGACGGGTCTACTGTAAGTGGTGGATGACGTTCTTCACCAATGTGCGAACCCTAAGCGAGGGCGAGCCTGGATGAGAACGGGCGGGCCTGTGGAACAAAAGCCGGGTCTTTATGTCAGGAGAAAATAAATGCATGTGCCATTATGCTACATAAGTAGTCCACAGATGAAAGGTGTATCGTGGTCTACTATCAGGAGTCACACGTTGTTGCATCTAAAATGCTAATGTGATGTGGTCCGCTCACGTTGCAGGAGAACGTTCCAACGCTACCTGCGCCAAGCGAATATCGAAATGGACGAATTGCACATTCGTAGCGTGCCAAGAAACAATGCCAAGTGACCATTTCCTGGTCATATGTAATGGGGCACGCCTTATGTCAATTCAACACAACGTTGTGTGCACCCGACGCCACGTACACGTGGCGTGAGGACGCGCAGCGAAGTAGGCAGAACTCGAAAGTTCTGTCTAAGAGAAAAAGTAGAACTGTATTTATTATAGTTATGTTTTTTTAATGAACTAGCTTTTATCTTGAGCTAACTATATTAAACTACAATCTCCTATATAGGTTTCTTGCTCACCACCCATTGCGCGCGTCCAGCAGCGATCGGTGGTTGATCGAATTGATGTGCCGTGAACATCAACCATCAGGTGGAGCAACCCATCAAAGAAATGTTGCCCTCGGGGGTAATATTTCTTCAACCTTACTCCTTACGAGTAACGTCAATCGAACATTATCTGAATAGATAATGTTCAAAATTGATACGAAAATATCAATTTTTATGTAACGGGCTCACCCCGTTACATCACCTCCCCTTACCCATTAGTCACTACAGTGAGTGATTGAATTAATGGTGACAGAGTGACACGCGTTGTGTAGCTCTGTGGGAAAGGGAGCACTTGTTGGTTCTGCCCAATACATTCAGGCTTTCAGCGCATGACAAGCTCGTCCATGCTCTGCGCTAACAAGGCCGCCAGTGAAGCGGCTGTACGGATACGTGCAGCAGGAGAACAAACTGTCCAAGACTCAGCAGCCTGCAACTCCCGTAGTTGCAGGAGCACGTGGTCATCCACGTTTTGCTCTTTCATTCGCAGCTTCGGCTGCGGGAGGTAGTACCATGGACCAAGAACCCGAGAAAAAGGTGGTCTATTCGGACGAGTCGGATTCTCCATCTGACTCGAAGCCGTGCGCAGAGCCCGACCGTAAGGTTGCGGTATCGACGACTACTGCGCCTCTCGGTAGTCTCGATAAAGACTTGCGCCATGAGATGTTTGATTCATCCGACGAGTCTGTAAACTCGTCACCTGGTTCGATGCGATCGCGCTCGTATTTGTAAGAGGCGAGTGCGAAACATGAGGGCGTAGGTCTTCGTGAGAATGCCGATGACTCTTCGCGGAGTCATCGTAGCCATAGCCGCAGCAACACTAGGTATTGCGACGATTGTGGTGCCAGCTCTCATGTTGGCACCACGCAAGAGGAGCAGGATTGCAACGCGTTGCGATCTGCTCCTGAGAACAAGCCAAGTATGCCTCCCTTGGGCGAGTTGACATTGTGGTATGGTTATGCCACTGGGAGTTGTCGGATTACCCTCTTTGACTCGTCAAGGATCGATGGGCTTGATCTTAGTGCGAGAAATTGGCACACTGAGAATGTATTTTACATCGATGCTGTTTTCAGACATCGATGGTACAATGGTAATCACAAACGAGACGATTTCTTGTTGGCTCAGGTGTGGCATTCTTCCATCGGTAACATTATGAATGCTAGCCGTGACACTTGGCTGGACAAAACTACTGTAGCTAGCAATAAGTTTGAACAGAAGTCGCCAATCGTTGCTTGGTATGTATTGGCCAATTATCTCGAGAGGCAGCTTTCCCTTGTCTTTCGTAAGGAGAGAAATGTCAGAGTTGTATCGGCAACTCTGTTTGCGCCCCTAGGAAAGCTTTACTCCCTAATCAATCTACTGGAGGGCGCGTATGCCTTATTAAATGTACGAAGGGATTGGGACTTTACAATCCCTTTACAAACGCGCTTGGCGTTAGTTCAACTATGGTCCTCCTTAAAAAGGGCGTGTAACATCGTACTGCTCGACGAGACCAAGGACATCGATCGTCAGCTGAGATCGGGGATCCCAGCTGTTCCGTGAGGGTGGATACCCCGCCACTGGACGAGGTAACGCGTTCTTGAACCTGAATCGTCGGGGTGGTCCAACATACGGTACACAAGGAAGCGTTGACCACCAGATGAGTCCATAAAACGATTTGTAGGAGGAGTGAAAACCTCCTTTAAGTCATTAGGCTCACGATCTTGGACAATACGAGATGGATCGCGCAATCGATCAATTGCGCGAGGTTTTAAAGCACGAGCGGGACAGGCGCTACGCATTGAACGAATTCGTGCGGCAACACTGCAAGGATCGGGAGGCTGATTGGGCGAAGCATCGTGTCTATTACGCCCTCGCCCAACTTTAGGTTGAGCGCGATGTCCGCTCCATCGTCGAAGAGCTGGGGACAGCTCGTAGAGAGATTTCTGGGCTGCGTAGAAGGGTCTCTTCGTTACGCTTCCAGACTGATCTTCTGGAGCGCGAGAGCAAGAACCTAATGGATGTTCTTGAACGTGGGCGTATCTTCATCTTCGGAAGAGGGCTCGTACTGACAGTACAAGTGGAGACGACTCCCGTATAACGTAGGATGCGGGCGCATCCTACGTGGCAGCTCGATTATTTATGCGCTTCCTTGTCGCCGCAGCATACGAAGGTGACCGATGTACTTGAGCAGTAGTTTGCTGAGCCCACGTTAG